CCACTGCCCTTTATTCGCTACCAGTTAACATTCTTCAGCTCACTTTTTGTTAGTATGTCATCAATTTAAAAACTGACGATGACAGTGCCCGGAAGTGACGACAGCGACACAAAACTGACCGGACCTGTTTGTTTAGTCACGTGCACAAAGATAATTAGGAGTCCTCAACAAGTACAAGTAGGTGTAAAGCTAATACAGAGAACGGTGAAGGTAAAGACTTATACAGACGTTTTCTAAGCAGAAAGTCGCCATGTTGCGGGTGTGTGAGAAACTCCGTGAAGTGGACGAGAAGGGCAGGAGGTACGGACTAGCCCGGGCGGAGACAGGCTACCTCCGTGCCCTGGTGGACGCCATGGTCGACACGGACAGGCTGGCGGAAGTGGAGCTGCTCAAAACTCTGGGCGGCGTGAACGTGGAGAAGGGAAGACTCGGGAAAGACGTGGGGAAGTTTAACACAGCCTTGGCGCTTTACATGACTGCTAAGGTGCGGTGTGACCATGAAGAACAGGCAGATGGCATAGAACACCGCTACCACTACACGGAGAAGCTTTTACAAGGGGTGTCGTCACAGGGTAAGGAACAGCCAACTAAAGACAAAGAGACGACTACACCTGCAAAGGTAGCGGCAAAGTTTCAAGATCTGGACAAGAGACGGGCTGCCAGAGATAACACAGACTCTTTGCTGGTTGGATACGCACAGGTGATGGTAGAGGCGATAGTAAACGACAACAGCATGTTAGAAACAGAAGCGATCAAGAGTCTGGGTGACGTGTACCTCAAAAGAGGAACAGAAACTGGAGACACTAGAAACTTAACCAGAGCTACTGCTCTGTACAACAGGGCACTGGCGCGGTGTCACAACGTTCATGGAACAGTTGTCATTGTTCACCGCTTACTGCACACCGCAAAAATCAGACAAGACATCAACACAACAAGAAGCAAGGTGAGTGAACTGTTTTTACTTGAGCATGACGGAACTCGCCATTGCTGAGTAGAATTCAGGGTGTCAACTCGGTTTGTTTATCTCCACAAATCCCGTCATTCATGTCGCACCGCTAATGGCGTAAAGACATTTTATTGCCCATTCCTTGATTTTCGTGCTTTTGACCTTGAACGGCCAGGACTTTGAGTATAGGACTACGACTCTGTTTTGACGAATCGGACTTTTATGTTTACTGTATGTTGTCTCACTGTATGTTACAATGTCTTGTGTAATTTTGCTGGGCCCCCTTGGAAAACAGCTGATACAAGCTGAATTGGGGCTACCCAGCCGTCTTAAGATGAAATAAATAAATAAATAAATAATTGATTCATTGTAAAATTGTTTTTCACGACTAGGAATCTTACTTCTTATATCAATATGTTTACTTCATTTGTTCCGCCTGCAAAGTTGTGATTTTGGGGTAGAATGTGTTCTGTATCTTTGACGGCAGAACACGTACACTGGGTTTTGTTTGCTTATTTTTTTTGTCTGTGCATAGACGAAGGTCTTCGCCAATGGACTGTTGTGTCCATGAATTCTAAATCATCAGCCGGCCATATCACAACATTTAACATGTCTACTTTAAGTTTGCCTTTCGGGAGTCAACTCCGGTCTTTTACCTTTGACCATCAAATAACACGATTTTAGTAGATCGGGTTTAGTAGAGGTCAGCGCCCACGCAACAAAGTGACCTTCCGCGGATTATGTAGCGTCCTTCACCTTTGACCATTGGTCAAAGTTTTTTTTATTCCAACATGTAATCACCAGACGTGGTGACGACACACTCAAGTTTCCTCAACTTATATTAATGCCGCCACCAACACAGGGGACAAATACAGGACAGGACAATACTCATTTACACCTGAGCTAAGTGAGGAAAGCCGTGTAAAGTGCCTTTCCCAAGGGCACAAGATCGGTGGCATGTCAGGACTCGAACCCGGGACTCTTAGTTCCGAGTCATTGGTCAAAGTTCATAATTGAAAACCGGTTAAGGTGGCCCTCAGGGGATTCCTATAATTAAGCACCCCGAGGTGACTCATCTCGACGCGGTAAAAATTATAGTAGGGTGCACTAGAGAATCACGGCCAACTAATATGTTGAAATATACGGTATATTCTACAAAATAACTGAAAACCAAAAAAAAGTTATCGTTTTTTAACATAATGACGACCACTTTGATTTGGCCTCTACCGGGGTCAACGGAACTTCAGCCGGCTCACCCTGGAACGTGGTTGCGTAATGCCGCGCATTTATACACGAACAGGGAAATCTTCACAATCCAACTCATACTGTGTACAAGCCGATACCTTTCTATACCACACAGCGCAGTTTATTAATGGCTACCTCTCAAATAAGTCGCTCTAGCCAGGATGCAAGAGGTTTGTCTGCACTACTTTCTATACCCGCGTCATAAACCCGGGGATCACCCATAAATACTGTGTTGTACGGCCTTAATTGAATTTGCTTCTCGCAGAGGTCAACGCGTCAACGACAACAAGACGTGAGAGGACGGAAGGACCACTTCTCTCCCTTCTCAGCTACGCCCTCTAGCGACAGAACCACCCGCCATGTAGACGATGACATGTTAGTGCTTCTATGTTTCCTTGTCTGATGTATTCAGTGGAGTTGATTCTTTCAAATACAAATAACTATAAAACATAAACAAGGGGCCATTTAGCATTTTGCTGGCCAGAAATGTATTATCAATTTCATTGTTCGATTTTATGTAATACTATTTAAATAATGCAGTGTGTTCTATGTCAAACACTTTGTAGCGCATTTGTGAAGTACGTTTGTCTCAAAACGCGTTTTATGGTTCAGATCCTACCGCAGGTACCTACAGACGGCAGAAAGTGACCTGAGCAAAGGAGACCTGGACGCAGCAGAGCAGAACCTAGCAGCCGCCCTGAAGCAGGTTCACGGTCTGTTATACAG